TGCCTTAATCCATATACGCATATATGCAAGACAAAGCTTCTTCATATATCTTGATCCCGTGGCTTGCTTGTTCATAGATGCATATATATATATATATATATATATATATATATATATATATATATACACACACACGTATATGTCGTGGTCTTTTTTTTTCTCAATTGTTGGCCGTGTGTTTTTCCTTCTTGGTCGTGCCCAGCAATTTGAGTTGATCTGTATTGTTCTTGCGAGAGGTTTCCGTGATCTCGAGTTGATCTTGGTTTGTTGCGTTAAATGCGGCTTAGGTACTCTGGTTCGTGTGGGTGATCTTTGGAACTCATCGTTGAGTGCTCGAAGAAGCCGTAAATCGAAAGTGCTCGGAAATCATCATAGTTGATGTAGTCGAGAAAGTTGTTGTTGTTCACCGTGGCGAGTAATTTTGTCCGAGTAGTTGAAAGCGTAGCTAGACTTGGTGGCTTGGATGGATCGTTGCTTGACCCGATTTGATGCTAGGTCTAGAGCACGCTGCATGTCTTTGCCTTGTCCGGGTTGAAATCGATCATGAGCCGAAGCTTAGTGGTGGGACTCGAGTATGACTCGATATCGATCGGACTTGGGAGAAGTCGAGTCGAACTTCGGTCAAGATGGATTCAGCAGAGGAGAACCAGCGCCGTGTCATTGCGATCCGCTTGAAATGCGATTATACGAGCTATTGTAGCCATCTTGATCTCGTGGTTGATGTAAGGTTCCCGTATAATATACTGAGTGGTATTTGTAGATGCTTTATTATCATCTCAAGCAAAATTCCGCAGACGGATCGGATCCGAGTAGATGGATATTTGACCCACCGTGTTGATCTTGAGTTGATATTGACGGTATTGTCGACGAGTCGGCAATGAAGGATACGACCAGAATCTCCATGGAAAAAGCAGAGTTGTTGCGGACAGCGTCATTGGAGATGCATGTTGATCCCACTGAGTCCGAGAATATGGCGTTGATATCGAGGTTCACCGAGCTCTCGAACATAAAGCGCCGAGAACCCCTACCTGGCGTGCCAGCTGTCGATGTTTTACCACCGGCAACCCGTCACGGGGTGCCCGGGACGGTGATTTGTTCGGAGGGGTATCGGCGTTTGCAGGAACTCGATGGTAAACGCAGGGAGACAATGATTTATACTGGTTCGGCACGCCGGAAAGTCATGGCGCCCTACGTCCAGTCTGGTGTGGATAGTATATTGCGCCCTGCGCTATTTGTTGTGTTGCGAGATATGTTGTGGTTGTGAGTTCTGTCGGTTACGTGTAGGTGCCGATCTAGGGACCCTTGCCCTCCTTTATATAGTCCAGGAGAGGCGGGAGTCCTAGTCGGTTACAAAGTAGAGATCCTAGTAGGATTACGTGTAACTAGTTCTAGTAGGTAAGGATGAAAACGGTCGGAAACGGTCGAAAAACTCCTAAATTGTTTTCTACTTTTACATTTGAAATACGAAAACGAAAGCGAAAACGATAAAGCCGGACACGAAAACGAACCAATTCGAGCGGATTTATGTCGAACACGGTCGATATACGAAAACTCAATACGGAATACCGACCCGTAGGACCAAGTGCATGACTAAGTACATACATGATCAAGTTCAAGTGCATATAATAATTAACAAGTGCATGATCCTTGGTCTTAGGTATTTAACACAATAGCCGACACATAAATATAAGTCTAGAACAAGCAATTAGTAGCTAGCAGGATAATAGGAATTAAAATTAGATGTAGCAACTGGCAATTGGGCTGTATGACCTGTGCAGTTGGCCAAATTCGGTTTAAACCGAATTTTGAATTCGGAATATTTTAAATTAAAAGTAAAAAAGTAGAAAACGGTCGAAAAATGTCTAAACCGTTTTCTACTTTTACATTTGAAATACGAAACATCTGAAATGCGAAAGCGAAAACGGTAAAGTCGGACAAGAAAATACGGATTCGATCGGATTAAATATAGAAAACGATGCGGTTCGGTTCGGGATATTTCCGTTCCGTTTTCATCCTTACTAGTAGGATTACATGTAGGGAATCCTAGTTGGACTAGGTCTTCTTCTCTCTTCTCCGTGGGAAACCCCATGGGTCCCGCATCGACAGTATGCAAAACCTACTCCTATGAGAATATAGTAGATTTTAACTCTTGTATTTTAGGATATCCTATTTATTCTTGATCATTAGATCATCATAAAATCTAGCGATCCATATTTTTTCCTAATACTCCATTTATTCTTGACCATTAGTCACAAAATCCAACGGTGCATTTTTTCGATACACTACTTATCCTCGGCTGTTATATCATCATAAAATCGACCGACATATTCTTCTCTTTTTCCGATTAATCTTATAATTTCTATGCCCTCTCGGTGAACACAGGGGCTCCTTTTAATTCTATTATATTAATTAGTGGATAAGTAGCAACCTCAATTTATTTTTCTCTCCAATAATTTCTTATACTCCCCCCAAATAAATCAATTCTTAGAATATGTGCCAGTCAAACTTTTTTAAATTTGACTAACTTTATAGAGAAGAGTAACATCATCTATGTCATAAAATGAGCATCTTATGAAAATATATTCTATGATAAATCTAATGATATTAATTTGATATTATAAATCTTAGCGTTTTTTCTAGAAATTCGGTCAAAGTTTAAAAGTTTGACTTAAGACAACTTTAGAAATCTATTTATTCAGGAACAGAGGAAGTATTAACTTCCTAAACGGTTTTCAATTGGGAACTCTAAATTATTTCTAACCAACCAAACCTCTTTTAATGGTTTATTTGTCTCTTACCATTTTCTCACATGGATCCCTTTATTTTTTTAATTTACTCTGACCTCCTGAAAAAACACCGAATGGGGAGCGGATACAGAGTTCCTCTCGACTATGGAAACTTTTGAGTTGGAGGATATTTGACAACTTTTTATTTTTAAGGAGCTCTGTTACCAAACTATTGGAGGGGACTTTTTCCTTTTTGGTAAAAAATCAAATAGGGAGTTGCTTTACAAAATTCTTTCATATGCTCTCAGATCATCTCCAAGAGTTTCCAAAACTCACTCGCAATCTTGATTTTTTAGCGAGATTGAAAAATGATTTCCAACAACTCCTTATGTGAACTCCCAATCTTTCCGTACTTACCAATCATGCAGAAATTTACGCACGCGTGTATAGATCGGTGAATCTGGAGGTGAAAGGACCACTGATGTGCATCAGAGGTTTATGATGAATGATGAACGTAGCGTCCAGTTGCCAAGGTTGGCAAATCCGAACAACGCAGGTGGCCGGTGCGGTCCGTGTAAAGTGCTAAGCTGGCAAGATCCGGCCCAAGAAGGGCTTCGAGGGTTTACCTCTGGCCCAAATGCACACAAACGTTCTCCTAAGTCCTGGCGCGGGTTTGCGCATTGGGCCTAGACTCGCTTTCAGGAACCTTTCTTGTCCGGTCCAATTCCAATCGAGCCCTTCCCGATCGGCGCCGCCCCAATATAAGCCTCCTCGATCCTCGATCGTTGATCTCTCTTAGTTTCTCCCCCCATGGCCCCATCCCAAAGGGAAAGCAGCACTCCCAGCTCCACCGCGCCGACGTCGTCTCGCCCGGCCCTGCCTCAAGGTCACGGCCAAGGCTCCCGTCTGCCCCTCACCTTCGTTTCCAGGTAAAATGGCGCACTTGCTGATCGATCCCTCCTCAATTATCTCTCTCGTGCTTCCTTCTAGAGTTCTCGTTGTTCCTGTGGGTTACTGTTATATAGGGCATCGTTCCTGTTGTGGCGTTGGTTTCGACGATGTGATTAAATTTGGGTGTTCCTTTTGAGATGTTTTGTGTGCAATGCTCTGTTGATCTCTATCCAAGCGCTAGGTTAGTAGGCTGTTGATTGCCACCAGGGTTAGGGGGTTTTCACACGACACTTTTTGGTGCGGTTTGGGATGAATTTTTAGTCGATCTGCTGCCTAATTGGTGATTGCTGGAGACGCGTCTATAATTTTATCGATTTATTTTCTGCTTAGTTCGTTAGGCACCCCAAGATCAAATGTATAACTGACACGGAAGTTCTCATCATACTAATAATGAACACGTGATAGGATCAGCTAAGTACCTGTTGTTCTGAGACTTTGTTTGTGTTTCTCTTTTGTGATACTTCTTCCTCATGTTCTCCCTATTTTGTTGTTTTTTATTTAAACTAATTAAGCTTGTGATACTTTAATAACAACTGTGTATTTGCATTCTGCTTTTGCTATATCGTGGCGTGGGTAGCATTTTAGTCTATGTTTAGACAATGAGAACTTACCACGATGCTTGGGCACACTGTGTATGCGCTAACATATTGTAAGTTGTTAACTGAACAATAACTAAAATAGTGTTACGGATGTGGCAAGTTGGCATAGTTTGATGACCAGCGTAATACATCTTTGATTGATTGATATATATGGTTTTTATAATGTTGTCCTATTATAGATTTACTGAATTCCTGCTTATTTCTGGTGTTTGTGAACTGGTCACACCATCTTTTAAATTTTACACGTTATATTTTGAATTTAATATTAGTTTAGCTATTTATACATGCAACCATGCTTAAGGATATCTGTCATTCTTATATTTCTCACACTATATTTATATGGCTATGTTTTCTTTTAGTAACATGATCCAATCATTTATATTCTGCTAGGTTAACGTTCTTAGAATTTGGTAGGAATTTGTTTATTTTTACTGTCAGTTTATATAAAAGTCAATGGTTAAATGCTGCAAAAACCTTTCAACTCCTTGACTTGATGCACATGATAAATGTGCCACATAATGTCAAAGGAAGTTGAAGAAAATAGGTGTCTTTTTTGTGTAACAGTGTATATTGATTTTTTCAACATTCTGTTAAACTACTTTAAAATTGAAGTTGCTTTGCATGTTTTGTTACCCACTTTTCATTGAGGTATATTGTAATCAGACATTTTGATTTTGTAGAGTTCAAGAGATCCAAATAGGACAAGGCTAAACAAGAATCAGCCATGCAAACATCCCGCTTTTGGTTATCACAGGTACCACATTTCTCATTTCTCACATACTATAAATTTTTGCCCTACAAAAGATTACTTTTCTTGATTAATATTGGTTTAATTGCCTTTGGCCTCCTTTTCTCAATTTCAGGGAGATAGTGACTCTGACTCTGATGATGAGGAGAGTAAATCTGAGGAAATTTTTTCTGATGTTGCCCTTCCACCAACTAGGAGGGATGATGATGGCCTTAGAAAATACTTAGTCAGCTCAAGTGACAGTGATGAATTGGATACTCATCGTGTGGTGCGGCCATTGAAGGTGGAACTTAATGAGGTGATGTGGTCCACTGTTGAACAGATACGAAGTGCAATGAAGATCAATGATTGGGTTAGTCTCCAAGGTTGCTTTGAGAACCTCAACAAACAGCCAGAGAAAGTGGTTCGTGTAAGTGAGTTCAACAAGCTTCCAAATGCATACATCCTCGCTCTTATGTTGCTAGAGGACTTTCTCACCGAGTCATTGGCAAATAATAAGGAAGCCAAGAAGAAGATGAGCAGCAGCAACTCAAAGGCACTCTATTCAATGAAGCAAAATCTTAAGAGGAACAACAGGCAGTATGCTGAGCTGATACTGAAATGCAGAGAGAATCCAGAGTGTTTTAACAAGGAGGATGCAAATGACAATAGCAAGGATGATAGTGATGATGATTATGATGATATTGAAATAAATAGGTTGTCATCTAATGAGGGGAAGGATGATAATCAGGAAGGTAACCAGAAGGAAGGACCAGGGGAAAAGGAGAAGGTCGAGAAGGATAAGCTCATGGACAAGCAGTTCCCTAAAGACCCAAGTGAGATTACTTGGGAGATTATTGATAAGAAGCTGAAGGAAATTGTAGCATCAAGAGGCAGGAAAGGCACTGGGAGGGTTGAAAGGGTAGATCAGCTCATGTTCTTGACTTGTGTGGCAAAAACACCTTCTCAGAAGCTTGAAGTTCTTTGCCATGTGATTTCAGCTCAGTTTGACATCAATCTAGCTTTCTTGGTCATATGCCAATCAATGTGTGGAAGAGCTGTGTTAACAATATTCTTCATGTGCTTGATATCCTGCAGCAATATCCTAATATTGTGATTGGCAACTTAGTTGAGCCTATGGAGGAGATTAGTAATGGTGCTGATTATGATGGAACTATCCATGTGTCAGGTGATTTGGTTGCTTTCATTGAGAGACTGGACACTGAGTATTTCAAGAGTTTGCAGTGCACTGATCCACACACAAAATATTATGTTGAGAGGCTGAGGGATGAGCCGTTGTTTAGGTTGCTACACAAAATATACAGTTTTACCTTGAAAAAGTTGGGAACTTCAGGGCTGCTGCTAAGGTTGCACCGCGTCAAGTTGAACTGATTTACTACAAACCCGAAGAAGTATATCGGGTTTTTTCTGAGAATGCCGTATCCACGTATCCGTATCCGATACCGATACACGTATCCGTATCCGTGCTGCATAGGATGGATGTAGCGGGCCAACTCCATTTATTGTAATTCCAGAGGTCGTGAATAGAAGACCTATTTTTCCTCCAAGTAGTAGGACTTTGATGGATGGATTGACATCTCTAATTTATAAGTATGGCGATGAAAGGACAAAAGCCAGAGCAATGCTATGTGACATATACCACCGTGCAATCTCTGATGAATTCCCAGTTGCTCGTGACTTGCTATTAATGAATAATTTGCAAGATGGAATCAAGCTTATGGACATATCTTCGCAGATCTTGTTTAACAGAGTCGTTGCCCAGCTGGGTCTTTGTGCTTTCAGGGCTGGACTGATAACTGAATCCCATGATTGCATATCTGAGTTATATGCAACTGGGAGAGTTAGAGAATTGCTTGCACAGGGTGTACGTTATGGCCGTTATCATGAGAAAACTCCTGAGCAGGTATTGATAATCCTCTCATTCTCCCCTACAAAATATACATGCATGTACACTCATAGTTCACTGAAAGAAACACTTACGAGATATCTCAATATTTATTTATGCTTTTGCTATGGTCTTGTTTTTTATCTTTTTTGTTAAGTGTGCTGATTTCCTTTCTTGTGAATTAATATTGGGTAGATATGCCAAGCGAAGCATCCTATCAGTTCACTATTTATTTGTTGCAAACTCAGCCTTCCCTTCTTGGCCCTGAAACTTTTGAACTTACCAATATGACCTCAAATCCATCTTTCCTTCCTTTTTTGGCCTTACCGTCAGTTTAGCCATGCAATGGTGTTAAATGGGAGTGAAAAGTCTATTTTACCCCTGAGTGCGAAAGTAACATTAATGACAGTACAGAGTTCTTATTTCTTGTAGATGCTTGTATATAGTTTGTATATGTTTCCTTTTGAGCATTATTTTGATTTCTTTCGCATGGTTTTAGATCACATCATAGTTGCACAAAATATGCACACATTGTTTCAAGCACCAAGCAAATTCCACATATAAATTAGCCCACACAAACATAACATCAATTAAACAGTAAATGGTCTTACACATAAATAAGTTTTGTTCAAACATATCTCCAATAATTGTACAAATGATCAGTCATCATAGTTGTTACAAACTGAAAATACGAGTCCAATAATAACTAATCCCAAGTTCCCAACAAACTTAACAGTCTGCATACAAATACATGTCTCCTGCACAATTGTTGAACCAACTGCTAATCAGGATGTCACTAGAACACTCTTATAAACTACAATTTATAGCAAGGAGTGTGATTACTCATGCTCGCTGCAGCTGTTTCTAGTATTCGCTACAGTAAACTGTCTGCAGCTGAAAAAGTTGCTGCGAGCAGGCTTATTGGTTTTCTAAATTCGAGTGGCTCCATCCACTACTAACTCATGGTAACATTAGTATGATATTGGGACTCTCAGCACAAATGTCAACTAAAAGCAGTAAAGCCAACGTCCAAACAGCGCCTCCTCTGTTTTCAACTACAGCATTATCATTATCATCATCATTAATGTTTTGCATCATGTAATACCGCCGCCGCCTGTGTTCCTCGAGCTTTCTGATATCTTCTTTTCAACTGGCCTTCTATAACCACAGTAGAGTTTTGGTGGTACTGTTGGGCCTTGAATTTGTTGCTGCCTCCTCTGAAGCAGAAGCATTAGAATGGTCTTCAAATTTTCCAGGCAATTTCTTGAGCTCAAGGTCTTCAGAATACTTGAGTAGCTCTCATTCCAAGTTGCTGATCTGTATGTCTTTCAAAAGTAATTCCTCCCTGATCATGTCGAGCTTTTCTTCAAGGTGTTGTATTCTCCCAGATTTTCAATAAATCCTCCCAAATCCATAGGTAACCCGAAGAAACAATAAAATCAACACCATGAACTAATAATTACAGAAATAATCTAGTTTCTCGCTTCGTATGGATGGTAATTAATAAAAAAAGCCCACCTTACACTTGCAGCTTTTTTTAGCTACTGCTCGTCCACACCCACAGTATAGCTGAGGTGCCTCTGTTAGGTCCTGGTTTCTTCCTTGACTAGTTAAAGAATCAATAACTCCCGTAGATGTCGGCATCTTTTGAACTCTACACCAACAGATTTAATTCAGAAGCAGGCATACCCTGGTGCATTGAAAGTTCTATTTAACTCCTTTTTATTTTCCCTACAAGTGGATGAGTTTTATCAGTTTAATAAGTAGGAGTAGATTATGAATTTATGATTGCATGGTGTATTCTTGAGATATGTCTCCCATGCATATCACAGCAAGACACTTGTACAAATGTACAGCCCTATCTGCAGACAAGAGTATTGTAAAACAAAATTAAATATTATGCATGTAAATGATCCAATCTAATTCATGTAATTTCTTTCGTTTTTCTCCTTGCTCATGTTTTTTTAGAGTGCTCCTTGCACTTGTCGAGCTTGATAATTAAGCATATTGTTTTGACACTTTAAATCGGGGCATCTGATACATTGAATTTATCAAATGGTTACTATGCCTATAGATTAAAACATGTCTGCTTAGTAATATTGGTTGACTTATATATATGTTTATGTTGTTTGTGAATGTGTTCTTTGATTCTAGACACAAGAACAATCTCTTGTCAAATGTTGTCTTTTGGGATGTTTGGCATCTCATATTTGATATGGACTATTATATTTCTACACTTGCTGCAGTAGTTACTATAATTGTTTTAATTTGTTTTTTATGACTGATTCCTACAGGAAAGACTTGAGAAGAGACGGCAGATGCCTTACCACATGCATATAAACCATGAACTTTTAGAAGCCACATATTTCATTTCTGCCATGTTAATAGAGGTGCCTAATATGGTGGCCAGTCCTTATGGTAACCGGAAACCTGTGAACAAAACATTCCGTGGGCTTCTTCAATTCAGCGAGAGGATGACTTTTGTTGGCCCTCCGGAGAATGTCAGAGGCCATGTTATGGCTGCTGCAAGAGCCCTTAAGAAGGGTGACTACCAAAAGGCTTTTGATGTCATCAGTTCTCTTGAGATCTGGAAGCTGTTGAGGAACACGGAGCATGTCCTTGATTTGCTGAAGCTTAAGATCAAAGAAGCTGCTATTAAAACCTACCTCATTTCTTATTCAGCCTGCTATGGCTCTCTAAGCCTGGAGAAGTTATCTGTGATGTTTGACCTGACAGAATCACATACACAAAATATTGTCAGCAAGATGATGATGCAAGAGGAGCTTCATGCAAGGTGGGACCAACCAACACGCAGCATTGTCTTTCAGAATGCCGAGCAAACCAGGCTGCAGAGACTACTCTCCCAGATGGCAGATAACGTTTCGGTCATTGCGGAGAGAAATGAGATGGCATATGGCGGTAAATCTCTGGTGGAGGAAGTGCCGAGACGCAAGGCTGATAATCAGGACCCTTCAAAATTAGGGAGGTTGCAGAAGAACTTAGTGCCATTGCAACGTCCTGGTTACACTGGAGGAGCGGCAGGCTTCACTCAAGCTGGTCTGATGTACCCGAAGGACAGTAACAGTAAGGGCTTGCATGGTAACTATGGAAGGGTTAACAAGCATGCTTATCCATGTGCAGCCAGCATGGTGAACCTGAAAAGGGCCATTGGAGTTTAGAATGTTGCTAACTGCATAGGAAGGATTGTTCATATAAAAAGTCAGTTGCTACTAGTAAGCTCTTAAATTTTAGTCAAATACAACTTATGTTCTATATTTCTTGCGACCTTCAGTTTTCCTGATAATGTTGGTTCTGAGCATTGTGGTTTTCACCTTGGGTATTAATAGCACTCCGAATTCTGAGAATTCTTGTCAGACAATGAAGTCATTATGGTATTGGGTCCTTAGTCCCGTGAGCTTTCTTGATTGTGATTTTCAATTGACTTGTCTGTAGATTTTCAGTCCACTGATCTGATGTGGTGCCTGTTCAGCTAGGTTTTGTTAAACTTGTGTCTGATCCTAGAAATGAAGTCTAGGCTCCATGCTTTTAGCTTCCTAATAAGATAGCATTTGAATTTATCGGAATAAACACTAGCCTGCTGCTGCACGCCTGCACTGCATCGATTGATAGAGAAATACTCAATCTTGTATGCAAGAAGATGAAATTATTGTACTTTGAGTTCTTGGTAAGTTGGGTGTGTTAGTTCAGGGTTGATCAGCTGAAGTGATGCGTTTGGTTTCTGACTGTTGAAGTGTTAATGGGGCATTGGGCATGAACCTTAGTAACATTTTCTGTTGATTTGTCAGGTCGATTTGGTGATAATTAAGTCGACTGAAAATAGACCATATCTAGCAGAAATGTCAGTTTTTCCACTGGCCATGGTTAACTGAAACCAATATGGGCGCTGCGCTGTTTCTTTTTTTCTGTTAACAGACCACGTATAGTAGAATTTGACCTTTTTTTTTTTGAGACATTCCAGAATTTGACTTGTGATGTAATACTATGCTTAAATTCAGTCGCGCTGTTTCTTTTTTCTGTTAACGGACCACGTAGACTTCTGATGTAATACTATGCTTAAATTCAGTTGCAATTTGATAGAAACGACAGGAATCTTGGATGCCGGCATCCGTTTCGTTGGCTTCTCGCTTAAATCCTCGTGAACTCGATTTTTTTTTCCGCTTCTTCATCTTAAGATTAAGATGTCTATCCTCTGTTGAATCAACAAAGAAAACCGGCAACAAGGTCTCTTGTGCTTAGTCCTGACAGGTCTAACTCCATCAGATAGAAAAATGGCTCCTACTTCTAACTGCAGCTACACCCCGGGCTGCGTCCATGTATCCTAGAGCAAAGATTTCGCCAGGCAAGAAACCTACTCCGATGCCCTCTGCAACTAAATTGTGGATACATGTGATGAAATGTGACGACGTGACGTGCTGTTGCTTGTAAGTGGCAGGCTTTCACAATGCTGCAGTTCTAAGAAGAACATGCTCCCTTTGCCTCCTGCTCGCCTTAATCCCGAGCACCCACCTGCTGGTCTGCGGTCATGTCTCCGTGTACTCTCTGTTCCTGGGCTTCATCGCCAGGCTCCACTGCCTCGGCAGGCCGGGACCGGGAGTACCCCATCACGCCGCGGTTCTACGACCTGCTCGTCCGCCTCAAAAACTTTGTCATGATGTGTACATGACTGATTTCAATTTTTCGCGGAATTCCTTGTGTGCCAATAAAAAAAGATCGCAATACCCTGTGAGCTCCTAGAAAAGTTCAGCTGTCTTCAGCGCCACTGCTCCAACTTTTTTGTGCCCTCCATGCCACTGCCGTCGGTTTGGGCTCTAACGCCGTCAAACTGCAGTTGTGAAAAGTCGAAAATACCCTTAAGTTTAAATACGTCATTAATTTTTTTAGCATCTTAACGACTTCAAATGAAAAAACTCAAAACTAGAAAGTTGTAAATCTCGTCGAGATCTATATTTTTCATATAAAAATTATCTTCATTTAATTCCGTAAAAAAATATGATTTGATATGATTAATATATCTTAGAAAAATCATATCTTTTTTGTGGAATTAAATAAAAATAATTTTTATATAAAAATTATAGATCTCGACCGAGATCTACAACTTTCTAGTGTTGAGTTTTTTTATTTGAAGTCATTAAGATGCTCAAAAAAATTAATGACACATTTACACTTAAGGGTATTTTCGACTTTTCACACCTGCAATTTGACGGCGTTAGAGCCCAAACTGACGGCAGTGGTATGGATGGCACAAAAAAGTTGAAGCAGTAGCGCTGAAGACCGCTGAACTTTTTTAGAGGCTCACAAGGCATTGCGATCTTTTTTAATGGCACACAAGAAATTTCCCCATTTTTTTTTGTCTTGGTCATTTCATACGGGATCACAATGATTCTTAGGATTTGCAGGAGATATTCGCAAGAATTTTATCTCTGAACATCAGGACAGCTATGCAAAATTCATATGATCACATCCTTACCAATGGAATCTGAAAGTTCTCATGGAACCATATTGTTCAGCTTTGTCCAAAAATACTAAACAGCCTCCAACTGATAGTGATCAACTTCTGACTTGCTAGGTGCGCTTCTAATAGCTTTTACCTGTTTCTTTAATTATACACTCATGGAATCATTATTCGGTTTTATCCAAAACAAAACAATCTCCATCTGATAATGAGCAGAGTTTCCAATAGTACTTACCTATTTCTTCAATTATTTGAATTTCCTTTTCCAGTTCAGTTTACCATATTGCAAGTGATTTATACTATTGTGCATCATGGTATTACTTTTTTTTTGCTCACTATAAATGTTTAACAGTAAAAATTGACAAATTGTCTCCTTCACATAATCAAGACTTAGACTGGAGCACTGATTGACGAGGACACAAAGACTATTATGTATGGGCTTCGCTACAGTACTCTTGAATAACCGTGGACCGTTAATCTAGATGTCAATTATCACATATTACCTCTTAGGAAGCAATAGGAGAAATATAGAAAAATATCTTTCTGTTAGATTTAATATGCATGCATAATCTATCCTATATGATGCAACACGATGAGATCTAAATTTTTTATATAACGTGGACAATGCTACACAGGCATGCCATAGTTGGACACAATGCACGCATGCAATAGTTTTTTTAACCTCTCTTAACTTTTAAAAACATTTGATTTGCACCCTGGACAGTTTTGATGGTGGTTTTACTGACGTGGCACCATATCAGAGGAGGTAAATCGGAATAAGATGAAAATTCATAGAGGTAAATTAGATTAGAATATTATTCAAAATATCCAAAAAAAACATAAAAAATAAGTTTTCAAAAACTATCTAATATTTTTACATTTACATGAAAAATAATGCAATTAAAAATCCTAAATCGTGGTTAGATTTTTTTAGCTTGGAAAATTATAAAACTAGTTTTAATATTTTTCTAAAATCATGCTCTATCTTATGGTGCTTATCTTGATATTGGTGAATCTTGATAGACTTAATTTTGTGATTTTGATCATTATTTATTATAATTAGGTGATGTTGATCATTCAGATCACGTAGAAGCATTGGTGGAGCGTCATTAGGACCATATTGGGGCCTGATTGCTCTGGATAAATTTTCGAAGTAGTTGTGTTAGTTTGCGTGGCTAGGCGGGGTTCGAGTCTTCAAACCAACACTCGGGTCGGGTTGAGTGCAGGCCTAATATGAACCAGTTACCAGCCCGCCCCAGAGCTGCACCGATGGCGTCACTACGGATGGTTGGAATCCACACTGCCACACTAATCTTCATCTAAGTGTCAAATGCAGTGCAGTGCAGCGACTGCGTATCTACACGCACAGAACTGGCTGCTTGGTCGGTCCGGGCTGGACGCTCGTGCTAGCAGGCACCGACCACGGGCAGTACCGCCTGCCTGCCCGCCCCGTTAAAACCGTAAGTATACGCGCGAAACACAATGGAGCAGTCTCGCAGGTTGCGTCTACTATGTTTTAGAATATATTATTAGGTACTCTTGAAGATGCTCTAACTAAACTAGTCCTTCCGTTCCAAGTTACAAGTCACTTTGATTCTTTTTTGTTCTTTCATTTTTGTTATGTATGAAAGAAAGAAAAAAGGTCAAAACGACTATAATTTAGAACGAAGTGAGTAACTATTACCACTGCTAAACAGGACGTAAATCCCGTCACAAATCAATATTCCGTTGTCAATTAAAAGCCTAAAATATCATGTGAGAGAAAGCACAAACCACAAGAATGAAAAAGCGTAGTAAAACACGTCATAGAGCTGTTCGTGATAAAGGTACTGCTGATTTCGAATCGTACCGTTTTTTTTTTCCGACGAGTGGTTTATCTAACGCAACACAGCAAGGTGAGAAAGTCAAACACTAAAATAAGCGATGGGGTGACCCTTCACGTGCCACGTTTGACAAGTAACACAAACCCTGCGAGCCCGCGACGTGGTGCACGCCTCCACGGGCGGGATCAAGCACCGTGCTGTACACATTTCCCTTGTCCTGTATCAAGAGCTCGCCTGGTGTCTCGACTCTCGAGTGCCCAAGTCATCGCCCTAGATCATAGTACTTCCTCCGTCCAATAAAATATGTAATTCTAGCATAGTGTCACATTTTAATATATATCTTAACTTTAACCAATTATAAATAAAAAATATCAATATTTATGATACCAAATAAATATCATTAGATTAATTATGAAATATATTTTTATAATAAATTGATTTGGAGCCATAAATATGAATATTATTCACTAAAAATTTGATCAAACGTGAACTCCTTTTTCTAACACGTAACCCAAAGTTGCATGATTTTTTTATGGACAAAGGGATTACGTGCTTACTACTGTACAGTCCGTTAGGCGTTGGATGAAGTGAATTTGGATTCTGGCTGAGCGTCGCAGACCCGCTGGTACTAGATATTGTGTCAGCAACAAAATCATGGTCCTTTTATGCCCACGAGGGGCGGAGCAGTGGGAATCTAGAAGCAGACGCGAATACGTGCCACGAGCCACGAGCCGGGGCAGTCGCCGCCGTGGGTCGAACGGACGATCCAGAGGAGGACCGACCCAGAAGGTGGATGACACCCGGCCCATCACATTCACTTCACCGCCAAATGCTGTGCCGACCCGTCGGCGTCGGTTGCCCGCGGCGCGCGAGCGAATCGCGG